ATGACTACTGACAGAATGATGTTAAATTCGAAGAAACATGCAATCGAAACACAATCAACAAATTCTTTTACGTTGAATTGGTGTTCGAATGGGTTTGATGCGTTGTGGCGGCATATCAGACTCTTCAGCGAAATATTTCCAAGTGATCGCCGACGTTGTACTCGTCCTTCCACTGCCTCCGTCAACATCGCCTTTTGTCGACAACGAATCTGTTCTCGACGATTCGTGCACTCGTCGCCTTCTCGGTGAACGCTTTGGCGTTGACCGTTGGGAAACCATCAATTGGTTTCTCACCCCCTCAAAACATTCAACTCAAATTTAGTCATCACAATCATAACACCATACAAATAGAACACGTAACTATGAAGCGAGTAAGCAGTGGAAGGAGTCAAAAAATCGAAGCTATGAACATGAAAAAGTGCTGAAGGTGAACGAAACACTACAGGTTTATGTGGATTCAGACAGCCTGTATCACACTTCGATTAAGCTGAAATCGTTAAATGATTCGTTAAAATAACAATTTCTGACCAATTGTGGAAGATGATATTAAACCAATATTCGGTCACTTCGGAAGTCATTCACTTCGACTCAACCAACTTATCACCCTTGTATTCAATCTCATTGACAAAATTTTACCTCTTCCATTGATCATCTCAAATTCATTCACTTCAATCAACCAACTATTATATCTTGACTGAACTGTACTGTATTCCAGTCATCATGACTGCTCACCAGAGAATGAATGAATAATTGCACGAATGATTCGCTAACTGAATGCTGCGATACATCGATGAACCAAGAAATTTTCATTAGTTTATGGTATTTAATCAAGTGAACAACACACCGCAATACAATAGCACACAACAAATACAATGCAACTAACAATAATATCACGTTAATATTTATGCAACGCTCTTCGAATTCAAGTAAAACTATTGAGTAGAGAGAGCATTATGAACACACACACACAAAAAATTACAAGGACACTAATGATAACCTTGCAAGTGAGATTCCAACAGTTTTCAAAGCCATCTCTTCTCATCCATTCAAGAAATTCACTTCGAATCTCTTCACCGAAAAATGATGGATACGTTTCAAAATCAAAACTGAATCAAGAAAGGAAGAGCACCCCTCTCACTGATAATTTTCCTACAAACAATCAATCAAGAACCACATCGACTAAAAACGATCAAAATCTAGTGAATGAACGACGTAACTGCGGAATCACACACCTCCATTCGATTACAGACATTACTATACA